AATACAGAAGAAAGGAAGGTTGAACCCAATTAGGAAAACAAGGAGTGCACCTGTGGCTTTGTGCCACTCATTTCAAGGCAAAGGAATGCAGCTCCACATTCCCATCACTTCAAGGCAAGTATCCAAAATGCCTTTTTCTCTTGGACAATCAAAAGTGTGAATATATGCATGGAAATACAAGAGAAGGGAAATATCCCAGTGCATCCTGCATCTGGTAACATGCATGGACAAAAACTGGAGGTGGAGGGGTTTAAATTCCAGAGACAGGTGTCAGGACTTAGGAATAAAAATATACCCTTCTGAAATTTCTTGAAAACATATTGTATTTGGAGACATAAGTGTACCCCCAGAGAAATAAATTCTTCCGTAAAAAAGAAATTGTGAAGGGAAAGGAAATCCCATTGCTAAGGATACAGTTAGTGGTAGTGGGAAAGACTAGGAGACCTGACAATTTCCAGAGAGAGATCACTGTACCCTAGTGAAAGCCTGGAAACTCTCTAGGTTTGCCAGCCAAGAAGGAGTGGGAGTAAATACAGAGCTCTGTTTGAGAAAGCTGTTCTCAGCATATGCATACACATACACAAACACCTGAAAAAAAGCATGAAAAATTTGAAGCACAAAGGAGACAAGTTTTCACCATTTTATTATGGAAGAAAGACTGAATATCATCAGCCTAGGAAAAGTGAGAAAAATGGTCACTCCAAAAACAGAAGAAAAAGGAAGAATGTGGCTCTTTCAAAGAACAGAGAAACGTAGAGAATAAGAAGAGTAAAGTAGTTATTTACCTTCAAGGTTTTGTTTGCCTGTTCCAAATTCTCAGCATAGTGGCCATAAAGATCCAGATTCTGGCAAAAACTTTCCAGTCCTGGCCCCAAATTCCCTCTCTCCAGGTGAAATGACAGAACACTGTGTACAAAGAGCAAAGATAGCCTGTGAGGGCTACATCACTGATGGCATTTTCACAGCTCTCTCTGGTTCGTTCCTATGATGGCCTTCCTTTGTCGTTCTCCACCTCACATCCAGTTTCTGTGCCAAATATGTGCTTGGAGGTCACATAGTAAGTCACAGAACACACCGTGGAGCAAACTTACTGATTTTAAACCTCTATCTAATAACTGGGTATCGAGATTTGTGACACAGATCAGCCATTTCCTGGGTACACATTAAGCGTCAGGTGTTGGTAGGCTTTTGGGAAATAAAGCTTTCTCACCAATATAGAGTCTTCCCAGTACAAACACAGGAATTGCAACAGTGTGTCCACTTACTGGCTGGCCGAATATATGGATTCCAGCGGTCCAAATACAGTTTCCAACACAGCAGGTTTCAACGTCCCTTTGGCCTTTAAAATTGTCACAAAGTACTAAGAAGAAAAAAACAGAGAGAATTTCAGACAGGTAGAATTTACAGATTATCATAGAATTGGGTTCGAAAGGACCTTAAAGACCACCTCATTCCAATCTCCACTAGACACTTTCCACAAGACCAGATTGTTTCAAGTTCCATCCAACGTGGCCCATCACTTCCAGACATCGGGCATCCAAAACATTTAAAACCTTTCCCCCTTGTCCTATCACTATATGGCTGTGTAAAAAGTCACTCTCTCTCTCTTTTATAAGCCCCCTTTCAATACTGGAAAGCCACAAAGGTTGTTAGCCTTTGAGGTCACTCAAAGGTCATTTATGGCATACAGCAGAAGCCAGAAGTTGTAACCTACACCCTCTGGCTTGTAAGGATATCAAATATTATGAATGTCTGCCTAAGATATCCATCGTCTGATGTAAGCCTGATTTGTAACTTTGACCATAACTGTCAACACATGGAACAGTACTACAGTACTACTAAACAGACCTATAGAGGCTATTTCAGTATCCTTAGATGCATTTGTTTTTCACCATCTTGTCTATAATCTCTGTTTGTTTGTGCCCCCTACATTTCATACATCTCAGGCATCTTAAGGCAAGTCCCCTATACAATCAAAATTTAAAGGTTTATGTCTGTGTATAGACCAAAGCCAAAGGGCCAAACTCGTGAGCTATTGAATATTACAGAGGAGGGAAAATAAAAACAACAAAAAAAACCGTTTTGGCCCCAGCAGGTGTCCCAGGCACTAGGGGTGTATCAAAGTCTTGCTCTTGACCCTTCCCCATGGCAACACAAATAAGTACGTGCCTTCTGAAGATACCCACATAGAAGAAGGGGCAGAAATACTCACTGTGACCACCAAATCCAGCTGCTCGAGGTATTTGTGTTCAGTTTCCAGCAGCTCCTTGGCTGTCCGGCTGCGCTTTCTCTCCCAGCGAGCCCTCTGGTCTTCCACAGTGTTTGCTCCAGCAATATACAGCAGGGACGAGTCACTCATGGCAGACCCAGGGCTGATACACAGAAAGGTGACGGATCCTGGAGAGCCAGGAGAGATGGACACACAACAAAAGAATAACCTATGTCGCAGGGTAGGATTCTGAAGTACAAACTCTATGCTTTCCTACGAAAAAAGGGAAGTCAGTTGCCAGCAATGGTTATTAACAGTTTCCTTCTGCATTCCCAGCTGCAGTTACAGGAGCCCTGCACTGACTGGAGGAATGGACCAGGCTGTAAAAGCAGGAGCAGTACATGACGATACGTCTGTAGGCAAACCTCAAGCGTACAATCCCACTCACAAACCACTGCTTGCTCTGCTTTGCCCCCCAATTCTTCGTGCAAAATTCTCATTAAACCCAAAGAAGTAAGTGGGCGGAAGAGGTACTGTGGATAGGAGTAGAAAACAGCCATGAGCTTTGTCTTATGGGGGAAGGAGAAGGGAAGGAAAGCAGTCTTGCTTGTTTTCCCACGGAGGTTACCAAGAAGCGAGTGGTTTGCATTGCCATTTTCTAACAGTAGTTTGTGCTTGCAGAGATGAGAGAGGCTGAGCAAGTGCTGTGAATCGCACTACCCACTCATTACCTGCTTTGGTCCTGCTCTGCTGTTCTGCCAGAGCAGTGTGGTCTTGTTATTCAAAACAGTCCCTCTTCCAGCCCACTCTCTCAGAGAAAAAGTCATGTTTTAGCAGAACACCAGTTAAATATTGCTCCTTTGATGAAAAAGCAGTGCAGCTCCTGACACACTTGTCCTGTCATTAGGTATATAGTTTCTCTGGAAGTTGAGCTACCTCCACAAAAGTTCTGATTCCTACATGGACAAGATACACTAATAAAGAAAGATGTGGCATCACAGAGAAGGAAATTTGTCAAACACAGTCTCCCAGAGACATTCCAGATATGTAAATCAATGCCTGAAACAAGAATTTCACATCAAGTAAGTGACTCATTTAATGAGTTGGCAAAAGTCCAGGTAGCTGGGGGGACATGTGCAGTATTTTATAGTAGCAGGAGCTTCTCCAGAGCTTTATCCTCATATTCACTTGCAACACAATCACAAGTGTAGCCAAGGCCACGTCTTGGTCAAACAGGGCAGACCTGTCACCGCTGTGGATGGAGAGGCAGCACTGAAGGGAATACCACACAAAGTTTAGCATTAGTCCCCTCCCTGGAAGTGTTCAAGGCCAGCTTGGATGGGGCTCTGAGAAATGTGGTTGAATGGGGGGCAGGGGGGGTTGGAATGAGCTGGTCTTTAAGGTCCCTTCCACCCCAAATCATTCTGTGACTCTATTAAGTGTGCAGTTGCAAAGTACTCACCAACAATGGACTAAAATGCTATCACTTCCAGAGCACCTTTAGCCAGGGCAGATTGCAGTCAAGATTTTCATTTTGCAGACCAATTTCTTTTAAAAAACAAACAATAAAAAAAAAAAAGTTATATCAGGTTTGACCATCTCCTGCTCACATAAAGCAGTTCAAACACTCCCATTATTCCACAACGTATATACTATAACTGTGCCAGGTCTGTAGGGTAAGAGCTGCTTGGATCCCATAGGTACACTAGAGAACACTTCCCCTACGGGGAACAGAAACACTCCCTCTTGCTTCTCCTGTCTCACGTTCAGAAAGCAATAACTGAATGCCATTAACTAAACACATTCTGTTACCATTAACTACCTTATGACACCCCATTACCAATATTCCCTTCAACATTTCTAAATTTTCTGAGTATCCTCAAAAAATCTCCCATTTTTATCACTGCACAGCCACTGTTGGTGTGTCAGGAGTGTAGCCACTTGGTGGGTCAGCTCCAGGGGCCACTCAGGCCCACATCCCATCCCATGGGTGGTGGCTGTCATGGAATAGGCCTTGGGGTTAGGACTGCTCTTATCGGCAAGGGTGCAAAGCCAGAGACTACAGTCAGCGCTCAGCCACCCTGAGGAGTGAAGATAGCAGGAGTAAATATTGCAGTAAATTATTACAGTAAATGTTGCAGTGAATATTGCAGGAATAAATATAGTAGGTAAACTATGCACTAGCTTTCCTTCAATTTCCCTGCAGTGTAGGTTATTAATAGTGTATTTTGGATTAGTCAAAACCAAAAGTACTATATTTTGCAGGAGATGAGAAAAGATCCACCAAAAGACTTGTGGATTGTACAGAATGTTTTCGTTGACCAAAAATTAAGCATTTTATTCATTATCAGGGTTTTGCTGTTTGTTTGTTTGTTTGTTTTAACCAGATAAAATACGTTTTAGAGAAATAAACGTTTTCAGTAAAAAAAGTATGTGAACATGCTGAAAAACATTACCCAAACGTTAATTTTTTTTAAGTAGAAGTACATTTCTTTTTCCTCTGAGCGTGACACGGATTCAGGAAATACTTGGCTGGGGTCAGTGACGAATTTAGCCGAAGGAATCTTTAGCGGGGGTGGAGGGGGGGGTCGTCATCCCATTGAGCCATGTGCTCAGAGCGGGTCTGCCATCAAAGTCAGGCTGAGCTGCTCAGTGCCTCATCCTGCCCAACACCTTTACATGGCTGGAGATCCCGCCAGTCCCGCGGTGTCCCTGTATCCCGGTATCCCACCGCCCCCGCCGCCCGTTACCTGCCGGTCCCGCCGCCCCGCGTTCAAACCGCGGCCCCGCCCCAGCGGGCGGTCCCAGGGCGGAGCGCGGCGGGGCCGGGCGGGGCGGGCAGGGGAGGGAAGGGAAGGGAAGAGGGTAGTGGAGTGGCGTGGACGGCCGGCGGCTCCGGGAGTAGTGATGGTGTCGCTGGGGGAGCGGTGCCCCCCGTCGGGCAGGGCCGGGGATCTGGCGGCGCTCTCGGAGCTGGACGAGGCGGCGCTGCTGTCCGGGCTGCGGGAGCGCTTCCTCAGCCAGCACATCTACGTGAGTGCCGCGCTGCGGGGCGGGGGGCGGCGGGGGGCTCCCGGCTGACCGGCTCTCCCCCCCTCCAACAGACCGACGTCGGGGACATCCTGGTCGCCGTGAACCCCTTCCAGCCGCTGCCGCTCTACGGCAGAGAGGTGAGCGCCGCGCCCCCCGCCGCGCCCCGCCGCCCCCCGGCCGCTCACGCCTCTCCGCCGCCGCTTCCCCGCAGGTCTCCGAGCGGTACCAGCGCCTCCAGACCGACTCGCTGCCGCCCCACATCTTCGCCGTGGCCGGCCGCGCCTACCACGCCATGCTGGGCCGGCGGGGAGGCGGGCCCCGCAACCAGTGCATCCTCGTCAGGTGAGGGGCGCCCGGGGGTCCCCGGCAGCGGGCAGCGGTGGGAGGCCGGGTGGCGACCCCCGGGCTCTCGCTGGGATCTGCCTGCCGAAGTTTCAGGTAAAGCTCGTCTCCGGTGCTGCTGGTGAGTCAAAATCCGTCTGCGCTGGCAGCGCATCCCTCATCCCGACCGCTTTCCGGGTCGCGGCAGAGGTGTGTGACAAACAAAGCTGGCTTTCCTGGAGCAGCTCGACCAGCGATGCTGGGCACGACGCTGAATATGTCAGGTTTGCTTCTGGAGGGACCTGCCTTTGGAAAGATTTACCCAGCTCCGAGGCAAGTCACAAAGTGCTCTCCTCTAGCAACTCAACTTACTCAGTAAATGCTGTATAAAGGTTATACGTAGTGGAAGGAACCTGTTTTCACAGAGTAGAGCTTCCCATATATAATCAAAGAGCAGGAGGAATTAAATATGCTTTTTTGCTCCCTGACTGTTGGGAAGAATCCTATTGTCATGGGCAGTTCCATGTGCTAGAAGTGTGTGGGGGGGAAAGTTGTTTTAACCAAAGAGTGTTTCAGTATCATGAACATCTCACTCCATGATGTCACATGTTCTGCTGGAACTCTACAGGGCAGCAGCTAGCAGAGAAAGTCCCAAACAGCGAACAGAAAGGCTCAAAGCACAAACTGCCTCTCCTAGGTGTTGTAGAGAACATGTCATCTGAGTTAAAATGTTAATTGTATGTTTGATTTAATACTCCCTTTTTTATGTACGGGCCTTCTGACCATTTTGTTAGTACTTTCAGTCTACATAGTGTGGAAATGAATTGCTGAATCACTTCTGAGTGTTTGGATGGGACTGGGAGCTGACCTTGAGTGTCACTTGAGCCCCCCTCATTTCTGTAGCCTGCAGGGCATCAGTGCCTTTGCTTTATGTGAATTGCTCTCAGGAAGTGGTGGCTGTGGAGTCAGCACGTGCAAGAGGCACTGCTAGTAGGGCTCTTGGGGATGAAGAACAGTCATCATATTTGCCTTGGGATGTGGAAGAGGAGAACCTGTGAGCATTTGCCAAGAGGTCGTTGCTCTGATTGTTTTATGCCAGCAGTTTGTGGTTTCAGAGATGAGTCTAATGTATTCTTGTGCATCTTGCAACCCTGTCAAATGGGGTGTGTGTTGCTGTCCTAGGAAGTTCATGGTTTTGCTATCAGTGGTGAAACACTCATTAATCAGATTACCTGACCTGAGCAAAGTTGGGACAGAGGTGAAGGAGGAGGAGGTCACTCCTCCTAGACCACAGTTCATCAAAACAACACAAGGACACACCAGGCTTAACTGTTCTTTGTAGTCTCTTTAGGGTCTCCAGCTTAGTATGGGAGGTCTGCATGGCATGTTTCAGAGGTTGATGTTAGACAAAGCAGCTGCCCCCACATGACAAGTGTTCATAGCTACCATGTTGTCCTGATCTGGAAATTCTACTGGCTCCTCTTGCCTTCCCAATCCCAATGGACATTAGTCATAGCCTGAGCATGTTGTAGTACACCACTTGGGTCACCTGAAGATGACTTTGCTTTTCTTCACAGCCTGGAGCAATTGCACACCTGCAGCCTGATAGTGCTTGCAGGCCCTGCTGAAGCTGTTGTGCTTGTTGGACAGTCCACGGACAAGCTTGAACCTTGGGAGTGCTGACTTATAGTTCTCTTGTGGAGGAAGTTACTGAAAACAAAAGTAAATCTGGCATACTGGGCAGAGGCATTGTCTGGATGGCATGTTCTCAACTGGCAAAATGGCCTTACTTTGTGCTTATTGGATGGTGCTGGTCTGATCTGTGCTTGAGATCAAATGTATGCTGTAGTATTTGAGGTTTTCAGGCTACCTGTGACACATACTTGATCCCAAGCACAGAGCCACTGGGAGTTACAAAGCACTAAAGCCATGCCACAAGCTCAAAGGTCGGCCGTGGAGGTGGAGACCTGCCCTCAAGGATACCTCCAGCATTTCCTGCATTCATTTTTTTTCACCACGCATATGCTGAAGTTCTCAGCTGGTGTATTGTTATCAGTCAGGGACACGTTGTCTCACTGATCATATATTCCCCATCCCAGGACAGGGCAAACTGCTCTTTCCAAGTGCTGGTTGTTTGACTTGGAGGCGGAGGCACCGTGGATGTGTGTCAGCAGGCTGACGCGCAGGGTGACGTGCTGTGCTGTGCTGTGGGGGTACAGGCAGCTCTGTGGCTGTCTGCCTATGTTGTCAGCCAGCTGAGTTGCGTGGATCTGTGAAGCAGCGGAGGTTGGAGACTGCCACAGTGTCTCGAGATCAGTATTCATTTGTGGATGTGTTATGGATAGGGCAAATCCCTTTGGAGAAATAGGAAGCTGTTAGCTTCATCTCAGGTGAGGGAGTTGATGTATCAGATGTTTTTTGAAGGAGGTTGTTTTCCAGAAGATAAATTCAGCTTTCTTAAGAAGCAGAGCAAATGGTCTGTTTTGTGTATCCCATCCAGAAGTGACAACAAGGGGTGTATCTGTACTCCCTTGCAGATGGGGAAAAATTCCCCTGGGGAGAAGGGATCAGGACCTCGTGGACACCCTGTGTAAAGCTGCGGGGTGTGGGTTGTACTCACACTTGCGGTTTTGCTGAAAAAGTTTAAAACTTTTGGAGAGTGCTCTCTGCTACAGAGACGCAGTAGCACTGAGGACACTTAGGCCATAAGGGGCAAAACAACTATACTTTCTAGCTGCTGGAATTTCTTCTGCTTTTTCTTGGCAGTGGAGAGAGTGGTGCAGGGAAGACAGAGAGTGCAAAGCTATTGTTGCAGCAGATAATGAACCTGTGCAAAGGCAACTCGCAGCTGGAGCAGCAGATCCTTCAGGTAGGTCATTACAGGATGGTGCTTGAACATGGAGAAGCAGCACTGCTGCAAGACAGCTTAGGAATGCTTAGGAAGCCAGCTGATGGATCATCACAGGAAATCAGGGAACGATACACAAGACACATAAGAAAATAATAGATAAGAATGGTGAAATAGCTGATGACAAATTGGAAAAGTCATTAATTCTGTTTGCTGGTGATGTTTCTTAAATTATAGAAAACTATTGCAATAATTTATCATGTTCTCTGTTACAAGGGATTAGTGGCATTCTTCCAAATAATTTCCTGTTTGAGGTAGAACAAGGAATTTCATTGGAAAAATGGTACACAGGGATGGAGAATCCACACAGCCTTCAGTAACCTCTCCTTGGCTACTTACACTGTCAGGCCCATACCTGCTAACTGGCTAACTGCCATCTTTGCTCTTTTCATATACCTCTGCTAATTCTTTTTGAAACTTATTTGTCTCTTTGGTCTGAAGAATTGAACTGAATTTCTCCAACAGAGCAGGCAGACAGGGAATGGGAGTTGTGTTCTGTATCTGCTACTGTCTTCCTCCTCATGCTCATCCCCTGCTCCAACATGGGATTCCTCCCACAAATGACAGTCCTTCAGGAACAGGCTGTTCCAGCACGGGTCCCCCACAGGGTCACAAGTCCTACCAGCAAAGCTGCCCCAGTGTGAGCTCCTCTCTCTATATGCCACAGGTCCTGGCAGGAATCTGCTCCAGCACGGGATTCCCATGGGGTCACAGCCTCCTTCAGACATCCACCTACTCTGGTATGGGTTCCTCCATGGGCTGTAGGTGGATCTCTGCTCCCCCCTGGACCTCTGTGGGCTGCAGGGGCACAGCTGCCTCATCATGCTCTGCACCATGGGCTGTGGGGGAATCTCTGCCCCAGCGCCCAGAGAACCTCTTCCTCCGTCTCCTTCACTGACCTTGGTGCCTGCAGAGCTGTTCCTCTCACACATTCTCACTCCACTCTTCCAGTTGCAGTTTTTATCTCAGAGGTGATACCACTATCGCTCGTGGGCTCAGCCTTGGCCAGTGGCAGGTCTGTCTTGGAGCCAGCTGGCATTGGCTCTCTTGGATGTGGGCAAAGTGCCTAGCATCTTCTCACAGAAGCCACCCTTTAGCCCCTCCTGCTACCAAAATATTGACATGTAAACCCAATACCTCATGCCATGCTTTGGGCTCTGGAATGGCATATTAATTTCAGCGCGGCATCATCTGTGGTAGATCCAAGGTGAATGCTTGTGCTCTTTTGTGAGAATGGGACATTGATACACCTGCTGTCTCTGCTTAGAGCTGGCTTGGCCCACACTGCCAGGCTGCTCCTGACCTGAGCAGGTTCCAGAAGCAGGATAACTGCGTTTGCTCAGCATAGGGCCTGGAGCCAGCCTGCAGTTCCTCCACTGGAAATACTCCCTTCAGCCCAAATGAGCTGCCCTTGGAAAGCCTAGAGGTGATGGCGAAGAAATAATGTGCGTCTTAGTTCCGTAGATATATCCAGGGACTAAGTTAGGCCTTTGGGATGTCATGCCTTAAGGCTGTGTTCAACAGACTGCCCAGCACGTACCCTGAGACATCATTCTTGGAGCTGACAGGCATTCTTTGCTCAAATACAGAAAAATTATCGTTTCACCTTCTTTGCATACAGTTCAGCAAGCTGGTCTGGTTGTTCTCTTATTTTCTTTATAATTCATTGTCCTTGTATCTACAAGTTTCAGTAGCTAAGCTGTCACACTTACATTGACTGAGTGCCACATTGATCTTTTTTATTGTGCAGTGTAGCAGTCAAATTATTTAGTGCTACCATGTCAGATACTGTGTGAAAATTTGTTATACCAACCTTATCTTTTAACAAGACCCAGTCAGTTTGATTGTGCTTATTTTTGTTAATCTCATGCTGCTTAATCTTTGTTATATTTGCCCCTTTAAATTCCTTTATCCAGCCTGTGATAAAATAGGTGCTCTTCCATATTCCTGGAATAGGTTATTTTCCAGCTAAATGCTGAATAGCAAATGCTAAAGTTAAACTTTTCTAAGCAAGTTAGATTGGATTGCTTAATTTGATCGCTTAATTTGTTCTGCTTCCTTGCTTGTTTTAGGTGAATCCTTTGCTGGAAGCTTTTGGCAATGCCCAGACTGTGATGAATGACAACAGCAGCCGCTTTGGAAAATACATACAGCTGCGTTTCCAGAAAAATACAGGTAAAGTCGTGGGCAGTTACTGGTTTGGGGAGTGGTTAGGAACTGGAGGGAGTGGACTGAGTAGCGGAAGCTTGTGTAGGGTAAAATTTTGGCACCTGACTCCCTCTGGGAAGGGTATGCAATTAAGTAAAATCTTACAGCAACGCCTCTTGGATAGGGCCTGGGTAGGATAAGGCCTGGGTTTGGACACAGTTGGAGTACGGGAAGGATAAAGGGGTGACAGTGCAGGCTAAGTATCAGTAATACTTTATGGTGTCAGAAGCCTTTGTTGCTGCTAAAGGAGGTAGCAGAACCTCTAAGATCACAGGAAGCATGGAGAAGTCCCTTTCCAGTGTGCTGGGCGCCAGAACCCTAACCCTTCTCACCAAAGAAGAGATGTGGGACAGCTCAAGCAGCTTCATGTTCCCCGGTTCACCACCCTGTCACCTTTTTGTGTGCAGTGCGAGGTGCAAAGCTCAGTGAGTACCTGTTAGAGAAGTCACGGGTGGTGCATCAAGATGCTGGGGAGAGGAATTTCCATATCTTCTACTACATGTTTGCTGGACTGTCTTCAGAGGAGAAGGAGATGTATGGGTTACTGGATCCTTCACTCTACAGGTACTTCAAAGGCAGACCACAGTTTAGTCTTTATGATGTGTGGTGAAGGGGAAAACGGCATAATGGAGACTGTGCCTCTGCCCTGGGGCTTCATCCGTGCCTGAATGGTAGCTGGAGTGGGATCTGAATTGAGCTACATGAAGAGATCTTATGGGTCATAGTGGAAGTTGGGAAGTCTGGGGTCTCTGCTGTATTACCTTGGAAAAGTTTCTTTCCCCTTTGAGTTTCCCCTGCTGCTGATATGCTGTATGCCCCTGGGGTAGGACTGACTCACAGTACTGACTGGGTGACAGTTTTGTGTGGGATATGCGCTTTCTCAGGTACGTAAGTGGACAGTTTGGTACTCAGGATGTAGCTCAGCGCTGGAAGGACAAATACCAAGAGGTGTGCAATGCCCTTGACATGGTGGGATTCCAAGAACAGGTCAGTTCTGGAGTTGTTCATTTTCCATCTGTGCTTCCTGCAGGCATAGGGTTTCTTTCTAGCTGTTCTTTTGAAGCTCAGTCCTGTTTCTTTCCTCTAGATTTTCCATGTTACTTCCAGACCACCCAAGTCTTTTGGTCCTTGTGTAGAGCCTTTATCCACAGGTTGTCTGTTCCTCTTCCCTTAACCTCTTCAACTTCTGGGGCCCCCGTGTTGTACATGTTACCTGTTGGTAGGTTTTCAGTCACCTTTCCTTTGTGTTTTAGGAGCAAGTGGACATGCAGGCTATCCTGGCTGGTGTGTTGTCTCTGGGCAATGTGACTTTTGATCCTGGGGAGAGCAATGGGCCTGTAAAAGTCAGTGATGCCTCCCAGGGATGGCTGAAAGCTGCAGCGGTGAGTCACAAGAAGAGTTGACAGAAACCTTATGGATGTAATTCTGCTCCCACTGGCAGTGTGACTGCAGGAGCTGCTCCTGCCAGAAATGGCAGAGGGTGTTTCTGCCATTAAAGAACAAGGAATTTTTTCCCAGAAGTGCGAAGTATGACCCCGTGACTGCATTTGCATTCACTGCTATTCATTGCCAAAGAATTGCTTCCCAGCTTCTGGTTCTTGTGTGCCTAGAACCAGAACATGTGTTGCTAAGTGTGATGATGCATCGGAGAAATTCAGGTGTGCGGTATTTGTACACAGGTTCTGTGTTTTCATTGGATCTTGTCCAAGGATACCACATTGACTGCTATAATTTTTTATTGGTTATCCATAATCAAACTTTCTATTATTTCACGTCATATTATCACAGATAAGGAAGTGTGTATTTCCCATGACCATCCCATTTTTATTGTATGGGATGAATACATCATGCTGCTCTGTTAACACAGAACAGTAAAATGTAACATATTTCTCCCACTTCTATGTCTTTTCATTTTGACCTATTTGAAATCCCAGTGCTCTTGGTCTTTGGTTTCACTCCCATCTCCTCGCCTATTTCCCTCCAACACCATACCTGAAACAACCACCTGTGTCTTTTCAGCAGCCAACTTCTTTTTATCTTACTTCTGAAATTCTGCTCCTCATTTTTTGCTCACAGAAGGGGAATTCCTGTTAAATCTCTGAATTGGTGTGTCTGAGTTCCCTTTGTTTCCTGCCTCTCGTGGGTTCATGTGACTCTGAGCTGAAGCTCAGATGCTTCAGCACCTGCACAGTCACCTGCACGTGGTGCTGTTCAGTAGGTCTTTAAACCCCTCAGCAGGGACTGACATGGCTCCCAATGAAGGTGAAAAGTGGCGGTGTTGGGAGAGCAACACAAAAAGTGTTTCAGAGAGCAGGGGTGAGCTTGGTCACTGCAGGGATAACACAGATCTCAGAGCCCACATCTGACCCTGGTGCTGTGAGATGCCAGCAGTAACACTTACCTTAAGGTGGGGCTCAAAGGCCTGAGCCCCAGTCATGATCCCATCAACACACAGACAGATACAAACCACACGAATTCAATAAGGGTTTACAATTGACTCTCCTCATCTATTTCCTCTTTCCCAGGGCCAGTTTGGAGTCCAGGAAGATGAACTGTTAAAATGCCTTATTTGTACGATGTCAGTGACCCGAGGGGAGCAGATCCAGCGTTTTCACACCCAGCAGCAGGCAGAAGGTAGGAAACATAACGAATTGCAGATGTGCTGGCTAGAAGGACTGACCTGTACTTTTCGGAAGGGCATCCCCACACATGTGCAGCTTGTTGGGAACAAAGATGTCCTTCTGTGCCCTTTCATTCCTCTCGCACAGAGGCAAGTGTATTGATGTTTGTATGTTTAGTCCCTTGCTCACATGTAAGACCATGAATGCTGCTTTTGTTTGATCTCCAAGAGGTTGCAGAGGTTAAATGAGAAACTAAGGAATTAGCTTTGCTTTCTTCCTCAGTCCAGACTAGAAGGGAACTCTAGGTATTTGTACAAAAGAGGGGGAGGTTCCTGTTTCAGAGTGCTGGCAGTGTGCAGATACTAAGCAGTAGATGGACAAACAACCTTGAGAATCAGTGAGATATCACAGTATCAGGAACCGAGTGAGAAGACAACAGAGTATGGTAAAGTAAACAAGCATAAAGTGTTCTTTTCCCCTTCAATAAAACAAGAAAATAATCCAAGATAATCTAGACCAAAATGTTCAGATAAAATAAAGTATTTTAAAAATTAAGTAAAAAGGCAGGAAGTTCCAGAACTTCTAGATTTTTGCTAAAAGCACATGAAAGATAAAAACGAAAATGGAGAATTAGCTAGTTCTGTTTTCCAAATTTTCTCTAGGCAATAAAATACACATCTCTATCATGAAATAGATCATGCTGATTTGGTCTCCTTCTTAGAATGTCAGCAAGTTCTCCATCATTTGTATCCCCCTCTTGCCCACAGCATTTAAACACTTGGCAACTGTGGGCTAGACAGAAGAGGACCATTCAGTTTGCCAAGTATAATTTGGAACTTCTTCCTTGGTTTAGGAGTGAGGGACTCCATCCTTAGTAGATCTTCAGAGGGGAAAGCAAGTATCTGCATATTCTGGGAAGTGGCATGACTCTTTTGGAAAGGAAATTTTCCATTTTAGATGATCTCACAAATGCTTCAATATGCCACATCTGATCTTGTAGAAAGATTGTGAAGAGTTTGGAATTAAAGAGCTCTTTTTGTGCTTACAGAAGGCAGGGGCAATCAGACAGATATCGATCGTTTATCTGATTATTAAAATAGCTCCATAAACTACTAGACATTGTTGCTAGAGGTGGATGCACTAAGCCACTTTGTGTGCTGTGTCCCGTGCTCTCCTGTAAGCCCTTTGGTGAGCTGCTGTTGTTCTCCCTGTGCAGATGCCCGGGACTCCATTGCTAAGATGGTTTATGGGCGAGTGTTTGGCTGGATCGTTGGCAAGATCAATGAGCTGCTGGCTGAGAACGTGGATCCTGAGGTGGAGCTGAGGGAAATAGGTGAGTTCTGCCTGCCCTGCTCCTGTTCTGTTCTCAAATGTGCCTGCCTCAGCCACAGTGAAGGACGGGCACAGCATGAGGTTTCACAGAGACTGTGCACAGGGATCCATTATCAAAACCATGGAGAGATGTGTGTCAGCAGCACGAAGTTTTGAGCAGGCAGTTGATCTGAAGCAACTGTGAGCCTGTAGTTCTGGGGCACTCTGGCTTAGCAGAGAAGCTGAGGGCTGGAGTGGATCTCCTCCAAAGTGACTCTTCAAGGGGAGTTATGGAAGACTGTTTCTCTTGGCTGGGTTTTCCCTCTGCCACAAGAGCTGGGTGATGGGAGATTTAGTCATGTGTTGGTGTACACAGCAGTTCTGCAAGAACAGTCTGCAGGCTCCATTATGTGTTCTTCCCCCTTTTAGGCATCTTGGATATTTTTGGGTTTGAAAACTTTGCAGTGAACCGTTTTGAACAACTTTGCATAAACTTGGCCAATGAGCAGCTGCAGCACTTCTTCCATCACGTAAGTCTCCTGAGGGTGATCTCGCCTTGTGTAGCAGAGAAAGCAGAGCACTGCTCTCCCTAGCACATGAAGGAGAGCTTGGGGAAAAACAGATCTATTGCTTGGCAGGACAGAAGTAGCCATTAGTGAAGCAGGACAGAGATTAGCAACCTTCTCTGCTGTGGCAGGGGAGCCACTAGGACAGGGAAGGATGAAGTAGAAGGATCAAGCAGTGACCAAAGTCGTTCTGAGAAGTGTTCTTGCTTTATGCAGCAGCACCAATGAGTGACAGGCTTACAGAGGCCCACACAGAGGGGCAGTTTCACCTTGAACCTCTCATGCCATGGGTGAGAGCACCATGCCTCTGTGCTCTGTTCAGGGCAGGAAGGAAGATGTTCAGGGCTGTCTAGCCAAGTCTCATGGGTGATCCAACCTCTTTTTATTTTATTTCAGCACATTTTCCATATTGAGCAGGCTGCCTATAAGGAAGAAGGGCTGCCTTGGGAGACTATCACATTCAGCAATAATGAACCTATTCTGGTGAGTGAGAGGACTGGCAGAATACAATTGCTCCATCCAGCCAAGAGAGAACTCTTGCACTTTCTATCATGGGGAGGAGATGTACCTGGGAAGGACCTCTTCAAAGGGTGGTGAGGGTGAGAGTGGATGCCCTGTACTGCTTTAGGTATGTGTCATGTGTCTCCTTTCCTGCAGAATCTGTTCCTGGCCAAGCCACTTGGGCTTCTGTCTCTTCTGGATGAGCAGAGTGCATTCCCTCAGGTATGCATGAGATAGGAGGAAGAGAAAATATTGTGGGGGGATGTAGCAATGAATATCCAAGCTGCAGAGTGAGCTCTTAGGTTAGAGTGCACTTCAAAGAGCAAAATGAACGGAGATGTCCCTGTGTGTGGCTGATGAGACAGGACATCGAGATCGGGGACAGTCTAATGGTATTGGCATCCCTGTGAGGAATCAGAAGGTACATCAGAAGACTGTTGCACAGCCAAGGACACTTCCAACACTTTGTTTTGCTTCTCTGTGGTCTGATCATGTCTCTGTTGCAGCCTGATCCTTTGATTATGAAATCTGCTCTCTTGCAGGCAACTGATAAGACCTTTGTGGATAAACTAAACAGCAGCTTCAAAGGCAACTTACACTTCCAGCCAGCCCGAGGCCATGTTTTGGGCTTCAGCATCACTCACTATGCTGGGAAAGTATGTACTGTTTGCAAGAAGAATGCTGTTGTAGTGTATGTTGGAGGGGAAGAAAGCCTTGCCTGACAAAAAAGGCTTTGATGTTGAGGTCTGATGATGATAATAACAGAAGTGATGAGTTCCCACGACTTGCCTCCTACATTCCATGGGATTTCCGTAGGAAGAGAGGACCCCTGAGGAAAGTGGGGCGACCTCTAGGAAGTGTAGGGTGTTAGAAATCATTCTGCTAGAACTCTAGTCCTAAAACAGTACTTTATAAAAGTACTTTGTAGATGCACAGTCTAGTGTGCACTCCTGAAGAACAGGATAAAGGCCGTTCCTTTACCTATTGGTTTCCACAGCATAGCACTGACTATTTTATTGCCAACACTTAGGAATGCTGTGCAAACACCCAGGTAATTAATGTCTTGAAAGTGGAGGCAGTTATTTATACATTCAATGGTATCTAAGCAACTTGGGATTTAGTACTATTACATGTCATTTTACTGCCACCAATTTTGAAAGCTTTGGTCCAAGCAAGTTGTGTTGATTGGAGATAATTTTTGGAACAGGAGCAGATATGACAATTCAGGTAATTGCAATATGTACCTTAGTAATCTAATCTCACCACTGTTGACTAAGCTATTGTTTGTGATGTTCATTATTATAAAAATTAACATTTAACGTGGAAAGGAGAGCGGCACACTAGAGATGAGAAAGGGAGGGAGCAATGTTAAGAAGGGTATGCATGACAACAGGGTGGAAGCCTATTCAAAGGGAAGAGAGAGAGGAAGAGCAAGAAGAGTGAAGTGGACCCAAAAGTAAATGGAACTTTAAATCAAGGAAAGGAGAGCAAACAAAAGTAGATGTCTCAGTGTTATGCTGCACTCCTGTGGTTCTGATGCCTCTGCCATCTGCAGGGATTTGTTCCTCAGGATTGGCATCTGGATGGGGTGCATACGTGTTTACAGAATTCATGTGCAAAACAGAGTACGTTCAGTTCAACGCTTGCTTCTGGCGAGCTGTAGGAGTGGCTTTCACTGCTTTCTTTAGTGATTTGGTGCCCTTTCACCAGGTACAGTATGCTGCCAGGGGCTTTCTAGAGAAGAACAGAGACACCTTGCCAGCCAACGTTCGTGGGCTCTTCATCAGCAGCGTCACCCCCTTGCTCAGTGTGCTGTTCACAGGCAAGTCCCTCTGCACACCCGTCATGAACCAAGGCCCACCTTGGCAAGAGTTCAGTGTGGGGATGAGGCTCATGTGCCAAGAGTGTGTTTCACAGCTGGCAGCCACTGGGAGACTCTGGGAATGCTGCAGCTTGGAGTGGGCTGCAGGCGTATACTGAGCTATCAGAGTTGTTTATTCCCCCTGCGTGGAAAGCAGGGCAGGTTGTATCCTCTTCCAGAGAATTAGTCACTCCTAAGATGCCTTCCTGTCTTCTCCAGGGCCTGTGCAGGACTGTCACCACTGGCCTTTTCCATTGGCTCTGTTCTTGTCTAGAAATGAAGCTGGTCAAGGTCATAGCTTCTGCTTGTTCACACTGAAAATAGAGTCTTGTAAAACCCCAGGCAATGAGTGTAAAGATTATTCCTTTCAAATACATTTTCTTTTTCAGGTACAAATTGTTAAAAAACTCTGAAGTAGTGTGCTATTTTTCTCCTACCAACTACACTCCCTTTTTCCAGTTATCAATAAGCCCTCAGATTTCCACGGCTTCTATGAAAATTTAGAAAAAGGTTGGGTGGATGCTTCCTTGGAAGTTGGCTGGCTAAACACAAATTTTATAATTTTTTTTCTCGCATTCAGTTCATGTCAGTTCCTGGGATTTACAGGAAACTGATGAATTTCATTTCGGTTCTCCACTGTGTTTTTAAGATCTTCTGCTCCAGATTGTCTTTCTTCTTTGCACTGTTACTGAAGCTACTTAGCCTAATCCCAGCTCTTTCAAAGTTCATAAACATCAGAAATAACCTCAGGTTGATTGTCCAGTCCTGGGCAATGGCTCTAGGTGGCCCTGCTCAACAAAGGGATCTGCTCAGGTGAACTCCAGAGGACCCTTTCAGCCTCAGCTGTTCTGTGGTTTTACGATTCATGTGAAATCATTGCATCAAGGGTGTGCAAGACTGTTATTAGATCCCTCAGTAAATTCAACTTCCCTGCATTTTTCATCTGACTTTAAATAACATGACTGCCATAGGTAAGCTTCCCATTTGCTATCTGTACTGTTTTTTTCTGCATTGCTAGATGTCTGCTGATGATATTTCTTTTGAAAGTCATTCAGGTTTATTTGATAACCTGATTTCCTTGTCTCCTCAGTGGCAGAAGATAATATTGCCTGCATTGTAGGCTTCATACATTTGCATTGTCTTCTTCCTTTTTCTAATTCTTTCCTTGTGTTTCTACACAGTGAAATCTAATGCCTCGTCTGTGATTCACTATTTGTAAGGAGGCTTGTGTTTGAAGTGGGGTTTGAATGTTTAGATATGGTTGATTGCAAGCCAAGATGCAAAATTAACTGTTGTCTCTCTTCTTCCAGCCACTGTTTCCAGGACGGGGACACTGATGCCTCATGTGAAAGCCAAGGTATTGCTCTTCAGGTCTATATGGCAATTGGTGAATGGTGGCATAGTTACCGCAGTCATATTGTTTGAGAAACTAGCTGAAAAAGGGCACACAGAAATGGGTTTAAAATAAAAGCAGAACCGCAATCAGCTTGCAGCAATTTCTCCTTTGTTTTCTACTGTGTTTTCTGGCTGCTTCTGCTGTTCAACTTGTCTTCTCTCGCCAGAAATCCATCCTCTTTTTTGCCACCTGCCTTCCATCAGAGCTCTTTGTCCATCAATCAGGCACTTTTTCCAAGGGGGCAATCTTTTCTTTTGGTCTGGTTTCAGGTCATACCAGGAGCAGACGACAGGTTCAACAGCACACGGAAACAATCTGTTGGAGCTCAGTTCCGGGTATGGTATTGCTGCCCTGCAGTGCCCTGGGAGATGAGTGCAGTGATGTTTTCATGGGAGCTTCCAGACCGCTATGCATAGTTAAAGCATCACTGATGTAGACAGGGGTTTTCCTGGGTGCCAAGCACGACTTATCGTGATGGGACTGACCAGGTTGTTGTGAGAGCTGGGGAGGTTGCTATGGGGTGAGAAAACAGTTCCCACTGCAGGGTATTGCATGTCAGGCTCTGGCAGTGTTTTGACTTGATGGACTGTTGATCCTGTGCCCTTGACAGCATTCCCTCATGGTGCTTATGGAGAGGTTGTATTCTGCCAACCCACACTTTGTGCGCTGCATAAAGCCCAACAGCCAGAAGGAGCCAGGTGTGGTAGACAACCAGATGGTGCTGCTACAGGTGAGGATAAGCAGTGTTTTGTCCTTTACAGCTACCTCTGCCATGTCTCAGTGGGAGGGCAGACCCCAGCAAAAGGCTGTGGAAGCTGACTCAGATGAGTCTCCCCTTGCAGAGAAAGAGTGGCCACATTTTATATGCATGTGGATGTTCTAAGCACTTGCTTGTTTTTATGGCGCAGACTGCTAGGTCCAGATTTTGCAGTCTTAGTTCTCTCCCATTTCTTTTTCATGAATGCAATGAGATCTGCTTTTTGGGCACTAGGATTCATCTTTGCATCTCCTCCTGGATGGGGACTGGTACAGACACTACTCCAGAAAAAATGCTTTCCAGAGGAGACTGTTCTCACCCATCAGCCAGGCCAACTCTGAATAGGAGCCAAGATGGGATTGCTCTGACAGGAGTTGAAGTGCACTGATATGACTGTATTTGGATATTGTGTCAGGCCTGAGGTCTAGATGCTTTAAAGAAAACTGAAAATGATTAGAAGAGTTCAGAAAGCTCAGTGGCCTGTTTAATGTATATAAGAAAGGATAGGATTAAGAGGAAGTTCATCCATGCCTTAGAGTAGTTCTGTGCCTAGATTTGGAAATAAAAAGCTGTCCTCTAAGGGACAGAGGCAAAGCAGTACCCATGGCTGGAAGGTGAAGTTATTTCAGTTATTGGTTTTTATGGTTTCCAACTTCTAACTCAGAGTGGTTATTCATCAGAGTTACAGGATGTGGTAAATTCAGTCTCTAACCAAGGAAACATTTTCAGAAAAAGCCTTTTCGTTTTGAACTGGAGAAGTTTAAGGCTGAATGAAGTAACTTCTGGCTGCAAAGGAACAAACTGATGTCCTAATGGCCTGTTTCTCTTTGTTTCTTGGATCCTCTTTGTGGTGCTGCTTCAGCTCCGGTACAATGGACTGCTGGAGACAATCCGTATCCGAAGAGATGGTTTCTCCTGGAGACCCTTCTTTGAGGAATTTGCTGAGAGGTTTGTTAAAACCTCTAAGTGTTCCTTCTTAGGTATTATTAGGGAATCAACCTTGGTAACCAAATATGAGCAAGTAGTAAAACACCCTCTAAAGTTCATGTTGTCTGAGAGCATGGGATTGTTAGCTGTGAGAGGCTGAGTGAGAAAGACAGTGATTTATTGTTGTTTGCTGTCAGGGTGACATGGGTCAGCTCAGCACATCAAGGATGTGGCTTTTACGTGTCTGTATGTGTTTGTTTTCCACAGATATGCAATTCTTCTAGTTAAACCTGGTGTTTCCCTCACAAAAGAAAGGTAGGAACACTTCCTTTGTTGTGTGCAGTCTGGTTTGTTCTACAGAGGCTCTTACTCTCAGAGTAGCATAGCAAACTAAAAGGGACAAAAAGAGGATGGGTTTTTTTGGGGGTGGGGAACGAAGATCCCAGGCAAGGACATTTAACGTTTAAAAAGCATTTGGTACAATGATGAGTGAAATCTTTCTAGAATTGTTGCGTAGCAATTCAATTGAATTGCCATATAGCCTAGCTATTCTGTGGAATGAAAACTGGCCAAGATACTTTATTTAGGGGCTGACAGTAGTGGTCAAGGCTGTTCACTGAACTCAGTGTGGCAGGGCCTCTCCAGATTTTTCCTGATGGCTTCATGGGAGAAGAAAATAAAGACAATGCTGAACAAGCACCCATCACTGAATGTCTCCCGGGGTAGAGAGGATGTGTCTAGTCCAAGTATTTCGTATGTGTGCAGGCAAAATATACCCTCAGCACTTTCAGAACATGATCGTTCCTTACGTGTGTAAATGTCCTTCTATCTCTGCAGAGGGACAGAGTCTTACCCTGTCAGCTTTTTCCTTCCTGCATCTAGGGCAGCAGTTCCCCACCTCCTCTTCTCCACTTTCCCAGTCCCTTCTTCCTGCCTGTGTCAATTGTGATTGATAGTGCGAATGAAACATGTAAGGCAGCCAGCTGAGGAGGGTTTTTTTAGTCATTTAAGAAAAGGATCTGAATGATCTCCTGGAACAGCTCTGTCCTGGCAGTAGTTCCTCCAGCCTTCACAGTGCTTCCTTGAACTTCTTAATGGTTCTGAATAATAAGAATTGCAAACCCAAGTGAGGTCACAAGAGAATCTCCTAGATGGGAGAGAGGTGATTGTAAACAAGCAGCATGGTGTGTTTTCAGAGACAAAAAAACAGAGGATGCATTTGAGAAAAAAATTCCTGTGGATTTGGATTGTGGCACTGTGGAAGTTGGCTGAGATAGAAGTAAAACCACTTCTGCTTTGCTGTGTGAGATATTAGCAAAAAGTGTCACTATGATTTCACAGCTTGGATTTGCAGGCAGAGGGAGGAAGCTGTGTGTTGCAACTAGAGTAGTGCTTTCAGTTCCAAGTGTCAGGGAATCTTTCCGAGTGACCCACATTTTGTCACTGAAGTCTTCAAAACGAAACTGGAATTGGAAAACAGACTTTCTCCCGGAAGTCTTGCTGTGCCGACCTTGCAACTTTTGTCCTTCAAAGGACACTTGAAAACGAAATAAGGAAGAACAGTTCTAAGAATAAAATAGGCTCTGCAGAATTGCCTCCCAGGGAGTTGAAGGAAATCTGCCTCTGGGAACCCCTTTGCTGATGTTCTCAAATGTGATACTAGCTGTACCCCAAGGTAGACAGACTGACAACAGTTACTGACTGTTGAGAATTGCTGAGGCATTTTTCCTCCCCCTTATGCCCCTAAAAACACTGGCTAAATTGTGTTCACTTTGGGGGAAAATAATTTATTTTACTATTTCCTCTTTTTTAGCTGCTTGGAGATACTGCAAAGAACAGAGCTGAAAGGCTGGATATGTGGGTAGGTGTGGATCATTGTTGCTGGGAGTGGGGAGCCTAAACTGCAGAGAGTTCATGCATGTAGTCTGTTACCTGGTTCTCTTCAGGGAGAACTTCATGGCCATAGGAAAGGCTGTCCAAAGGATGGCGTATGCAAGTTTATGTAAACGGTGTTTCTCCCTGCATCTTTCTCTTCCCGACTTCACAGAAAGTCACGACTTTTCTTTAAATATTGGCATCAGGAACAGCTGGCAAAGTGTGTGGAGCGACTGGAAAGAGCAGCAGTTGTCATACAGAAAGGTGAGCACTGGAAAAGGAGAGTCCCTCAACGCTGATCTCAGAACAGAGGAAGGAGAACCTTTTCTGCAGTCCCTCCTCCTCCTTTGCACCTTTGCAGATGGCAGAAGGGTAGGGCAGGTGCCATCTCCATGTCAAAGCCCCGTGAAGTCAAAGTACTCATTGCAAATGCTCACATCCTCAGTGCTCATCCTCAGTCAGGGAGAGCCCTCAGACAGTGTGAGGCTTGGAAAGGGAAAGCATGTGCTCTGGAGAGCTGAGCTGAGCAGGGCAGGCATGTGATTTGGCTTTGTCCTGAAATCTGGCTAACTGTCCTCTGGAGTAACAGCTTGTTTGTGAGTTGTGTTGAACTGAGCAGAAGGAAATGAGTGAAGCAGATCTCACTCCTGCTTTTAGAGAGGATGAAGTTTTGGTCTACCTTGGTTTTTTTTCTTTCCTTTCCATGTAGCATCTGCTCTGGCAGCCTGTTTCTCCAGAGTGGCTGTGGGCAGTTTGGTACTTCGCTTTGCACAGGGTCCATGGGGAATGTGCAACCAGGAGGAGGAGGAGGCTGTCGCCCTGCCTAGTCCCTCTTTGTTGTTGCTCTCTTCTGTATGGGTTGCTGCACTGCTGAAGCATCTGAGCAGCTTCCAGCTGTGCACTGTACAGTGTGACAAACGTCAGACTGTCACATGCTGTGCATTGTTCTGATCCACAGGGAAGATGTGTGGGTAGTAGGAAATGAGAGAGTGCAGCCTTCCGTTCATGTGGTTTAATACCTGGTAGAGTAGGAGGGATCATACAGTGTCTGTAATGCTCCTGATGAACCCTGTGATAGCTGCCTGTGGTAAAGATTATCCTGGGGACTGACACCGAGGAAGTCCCATCTCCATGGGGTCTGAAGGGAACCAGGGAGATAGAGGGTTAACAGGCCCTTCTGTGAGACTGTTTTTCAAGCCTTGGCATTAGAGATGAGATCTGTAGTTGGATTTCTATAAATCTATGATCTAGCATCTTAGAGAGTAGAAGACAGTTCTCACGTGGTTTTGACCGCTTGCTCGCAGTAGAGTTTTCATTGCTGTTTATTAACATGATTCAAGTGTCAAGGGCTTTGCCCTGGATGAAAGAATATTACCTGGTGTTCTTTCCTAAGAGAGTGACAAGGGCATGAACAGCTCTTTTTTTTTTTTTTTTTTTTCTAACCACAGCTTTTCTCTGAACAGTTTATAGGGGATTCAGATGCAAGAAGAGTTATGTAAAATTGGTGGCTGAGCTGAGAGCTCAAGCACAGCATCTGCAGAAGTTGGCAGAGAGAGAAAGAAGACGGCAGCTGGCCCTGGAAGCAGAGGCCCAGAGTGAGTTGCTCCCACTCTCAGTGCCCCTGTGCATGGCCACTGGTGTGACGATCACCTCAAGGAGCTGTAAGCTCCAGGGGATGGTGGCCTGCCCTCGGCTCTCCATCAGTGTGGTGGGCAGGGAGGTGCTGACACTTCTGCTCTTTGAAAGTGTAGCTTCATCTGTGGGGAGCAGAAGCAGCATCATGAGGGTGGTTTGCCTGGCTCTGCTGGAAGGAGTGCCCACGCTGTGTCTTTCCCGCATACTTGGTGCAGCAGAGACTGTCCCTGCCTCTGGACATGGAGGGTGGATACTGGATGCTAGATTTCACCTACTTATTTCCTCTTGTTGCAGGAAGAAGCCACTTTCCAGTTCCCATGCCACGGAAGAGGCATCCTCAGCCTAATCCAAATCCTTCTGATAAATCACAACAGCCACCAGTGCCACGGCCACGCAGCAAACTAAAAGAGGTAGTTTTGGGGCCCCTTAGCCAGATGTGCTGGTTCCCTGCCCCATCTACCTTCTGCATGCACATGTTCTCCTGCATGTGATCCCAGGAGAACACTGTCATTTTTATTACAAGAAGTGTGAGTCCTTTCGCTCTGTTGTTAGTTAAAAAGCATGGTCGGGACCTTTTAGGAACTGAGAGCAGTGTTCGATAGTTTGCAACTGATCTTAAGGGACTTGGGAATGGGATCACCTACCAAAGTGATGCCTTCAGTGACCCTCTGGCTTTGATCTTGCTTTCATGCCAACTTTCCATCTGTCCCCACTTTCAGTCCACTCCTTTTGATAACTTCTTGGACCCTTCTGTACCTCACCCTGTTCTGCGAACAGAGGAACACACTGGAGAAGAAGCAGAAATGAGGAAAATAAAGAGAGGAGCAACTCTCCGTTGGTTCAGAGAGACACAGGCCGAGAAGGTCGTGCAGGATGATGGGGCCTTTCCAAGCTGGCTGCATGGGATGATCAGCAGGAGGTGGGTACACTGGACACAGTGGCTGCAGCTTGGGCTGTGACAGGTAGGCAGAAGCCACCGTGTCCTTAGGAGGATTGCATAGGTTGGATTTGCCAGGCTTTACTTCCTTAAGGAATGGGAGTGACCCCTATAACCTTTCTTCCTTTTAATCTGTGAGTGTCAAACACCTTGGAGGAAGCTTGTCACAGAATGCAAATGCTGAAATTTTACATAGGTCCAGAGAACAACCATGAAAGTCATAGGAAATAAGTACACTCTGGGTTCCTCAGTGCAGATCCTGTACAGGGAAGGGAGACTTTTAAAGTAATGGGAAAGGAAATACACACATGTATTTTACCCTGCTAAGGACCATTTGCAGAGACAGGAAGATGGACTTTTGGGCTGACTCGTTATGACTGGTTTTGTATCTCAGTCTAGGTCATGAGGAAACCTCAGTTTACAGCAGGAGAATACAGAATTTAGTGTACAATTGTTTAAAAAAAACATTAAAATGGGACTTCAGTGAGAACCCAAATTTCCTCCAAAATTCCTCCAAAGCCCCCTGACAGAGGAAAAAGAAGGGTATTTGTTGATATCTCTGCCCATCCAAGTAGGGTGCACCATAGGTGGAATTTACTTCTCCTTAACCTGGCAGAGACATCCACAATGCCCGTCTTTGTTACAGAGTTGATTACAAGACTGTGAACTCTAAAGCTTTTTTGCAAAAACCTTTATTTAAATGCTTGAAGTTTTGCTACTGGGTCTGCCTCACACTTCACTCTCTTGGCTGAGCCAGGCACTACTTTCCAAGCACTGTGATAATCAGAAATGCTGGTTATGCGGGTGAAGTGGATGGCAGTATAGTCTCACCTGTGTGCAAATTAATCTATGGTTCTCCATGCTTGCTAACTGCCAATATCCCAAAATTGGTGGGATTTCTGTGTCAGTGTTGCTGTTCAAGCTGTCACTTGAACACCCTCATCATCTTGTTCCAATTTCTAACTTTTTTTTTCTGTTAAAACTGCAACTCTATTTCAGTCTTATTAGATCACAGGTGCCTGGATTTTGTCAGTGTGAATCTTTGCTCACAGACCATTACACAGCATATTAGCTTAGTAAAGAACAATACAGTAGCTGACAACTCCCTGGTAGCTGCATTTCTTTTCTCCTTTTTTTAGATATTTATTGATGCCTTAACCTGCATTAATGCTTTTGTCCACAGAATACAGGAGAGGAACTGGTGCCTGGAAGACAAAACTCTAAATTCAAATGTAGGCTAGCTATGAGCACTTCACAATGAAGGACCGAAGACACTGATGCTTAAGTGGAGATTAAAGTCTCCATAAGCAGTGTAAGCTCAGCCTCATGAAACGGAGCAGACAGAGCAATCCCGAATTGCACTGGTGATTTGCAGTCACCTTTAGCCTGGAGCAAGGCACATGACAAGCACAAAGCAGAGCTTTGTCTTTTGGGCAGAGAGGAGGAAGACCTCCTTCCAGCAGGAAGTAAGAGAGCCAGGGTGGTGTAATCCAAGTTGGTGTTTTTCCAAGGCACTGAGCTTACCTCCTATCCCACTGCATCCTGACTTCTTCTGCCTTGGTGCATAGGAAATGGACACGGGCACAGACCCCTCATCTCAGCAGTGCTTTGTCACATGCTCTGTGCTGGAGGGCAGCTGTTGCTATTGCACTTGTCAAACTGCTGGAGCAGGTTTGGAGCAGCCCTGCTTGAAGAGGCTATTGCTGAGAGTACTGTGCCTCCTCAGCCGCCTAATGCCTCCTGCACCACCAAGCCTGAGTCAGGAAACCAAGCTAGGAGCACACTGGGCAGATGCTGGCTGCTTCCTTGGAGTGGGAGCACTATGCTGGTAGCACCTGAAATAGGATGGGAATCCCTGCTGTGTGACGAGGCATCTGCTCACTTTCCTCTGAAAAACTCTTTCCTGATTCCAGGGAAGCTGAAAACTTGCTGCATGACAAGCCTTTGGGTTGCTTCCTTGTTCGGATTAGCCAGAGCCAACCAGGCTACATCTTGACATACAGGTAGGTAACAAACCTTGCAGAGAAGGCACAGGGAAGACCTTATTGCTGTCTGCAACTACCTGAAAGGAGGTTGTAGCAAGGTGGGGGTCAGCCTTTCTTCTCAGACAACTGGCCAAAGGGCAAGAAGATGTAGCTTCAAGCTGTGCTAGGGTAGGTTCAGCTTGGACATCAGGAGGGATTTCTTCATGTAAAGGGCTGTCAAGCACTAGAAGAAGGTGCAAAGGGCAGGGTGGAGTCATCATCTCCGGTGGCAATTAAAAGATACATACATGTGACACTTGGGGACATGGTTTAGTGGTTGACTTGGCAGTGCTGGGTTAATGGTTGGACTCAAGAATCTTAAAGGTCTTTTCCAATCTAAATGATTTTGTTGTTCCATGAAACTGAGCACTGCATGAAATTCTATGGTCCTGGAATTCTACAGTCATAGAATTCTAGAATTCTGTGATTCTACTTGACTGGAGGAGATGACCTGCTCCACAGAGGAGTCCAGTGAGGAGGCTCAGCCTCTCCTGTTGTAGATGCTTCAGACCGTTTGTAGTAGCAGACAGGACACTGCAGAGTTTGTCTCTTGCCAAAAAATAGACCTGGGTTTGGGTGTGGTATTGTACTCCAAGGGTAGAGATCTTGTACTATATGGCTGAGTGCACAAACCAGGTTGGAAGGAGCACTGAGATTGTTGCTCCTCCAGCACCTACAGGCACAGCGTGTTAGTGCACAGCACATCTCCTGCCCCTCTTTGGTATTTTTTGCTGTGGACGCTGGTCACATCTGGCCTCTTGAGACCACAGTGGAGAAAGCAGGAACCAGGTGCTGGAGAGATGGTGCAGCCATGACTGTTCCTGTCTGTGCATGTCCCCAGGGGCCAAGACCGCTGCAGACACTACATGATCCAGGTGCAGCCCAACGCACGCTACATCATCCTGAGAGAGGACCGGGCTCATGCCTCGCTCACCGCTCTGGTTCGGTACCACCAGACCGTGGGCATCCATCCCTTCATGGAGATACTGACTGTCCCCTGTGTGCAGGTGAATGCCAAGGATCTGCAGTGGGAACAGGGGGTGGGGACTGTGCCGCACATGGATAGAGTCACAGCAGCAGCATCTCACTTCTGTTTTCCTGTTGGGGTATGTCCCATTCTGGCCAAGCAGCTTGGCTGCTTCTGCGTGCACCGGGAAAAGCTATTAGCTGGGAGTCCTGGGGTGGGGGAGTGGCACTATCAGGTGGATGACACCCCCCCGACCCCTGAATGTCAGCAGTGGACACCCTGTGTGTTCCTCTTTGTTGTGCTGTTTGTGTTTGGAGGGTCTGCAAACCACTGCTGAATCCACTCTTCCTTTCCTCAGAAAAGTAGTAATGACTTGGATTACGAAAATCTGGAGTACCCCACGCTGAGTTCACCCGCAGGCAAAGTAGCGACCCCTTCACAGAAGGAGTCTTGTCCCTCCATGCCTTCCATCAGCAAACCTGTTCTGCCATGGTTCAGAAAGAGCAAGAATTTCCAAAACCAACAGAGCGTGGACAAGAGTAGGACAAATCCAAGCTCTGGAGAGAGCAGACAGCAAGCCTTCCCTCGCCTCCGCTCTTCCATACGACTGGCGATGCAGGAAATCCAGCAGGTGAGCTGGGGCATATCCTCTGCTAAGCCATGGCCCCTCTGGGACAGGTGGAGCTGCCCTGCCCAGGGGCAGGAGAGAGGAGGCTTCCACAAGTAGCACTTGGTTTCTTAGCTCCTGGGTCACAGGTTTGGTTTGGTGGTCTTGGGATCCAGACTGTATTCTTTGGAAGTGCCAGACTGGGGGGAGACCCCTAGAGGGGCTCATTGAGACTCCCAAAGAAAAGTCCACGGCAGAAGGGCTGTGATGTGACCAGTGTCCCAGGCACTGCTCCCCTAATGCTGTCCCTCTGCTTCTCACTGCAGTTCAATTCCTATTCCGTGAATGTCCCTGAACAGGGGCAATCGAGCCGTCACCGCTGAGGATGTGTAGCACAAATGACTCGGTAAGGAGGAGGCACGAGGGCAAAAAGAATTGCAGCTCCCTGGGAAATGGAAGAGCATCTCTTGGTCACAAGCTACATAGAAATAGAGCAGGAGAAACAGAGGGCAGCAGCCAGCTTCTGTCCCAGGACTGCAAAGAGACCAGGAGAACTGGGAAAAATCAGCTGAGGTTTGGGTTCTCAGCAGCTGTGGTGCAGAGTGCCTGCAGTACAATGGCAAGGCTGCTGGAGGGAGCTCACAGTTTGTTGGAGGCCTGGGGCTGGAAGGACTAGGACTATTAGAATGCCTGTCTGCATGCCACAGTTGTCAGCTGTAGTGGCTTAGTGTGGTGGAGGGAGGTGCTGTGTGTAGCAGGGGCAGTGAGCTGAAAGGAAGGCTCAAAACATTGGATAAGGCAGCGACCTTTATTGCTCTAAAGAGGACTTTAAACAAGAAGACTTTAACAAGGTCTCAGCAGCTGGAAGCACAGCTGGTTAATGAGACTGTGATCCATTGGGTGGGTTATAGGAGTCCATGGAGTGGGCCAGGAGGGGCCTTTTGGCAGACCCTGCATTGTCTGAAGAATTTAATGGATGTGCAGCTCCCACTCAGTTGCTGAAGGCAGGTGGAAACTGTAGTGGTGCCGCTGTACACCTCTGGAAAAATTTCAGGATATATGTCAACTGCGAGTGGAGAAGGATCAAAAGACCATGTTTTTGGCTGCTGACCCACCACAGGGCTTCCAGCCTTGCACCAGGATTGGCGAGCTTCCTGCACGGTTCCACTCCCACCTGGAATTCATGCTGTAGCAAAGCTTTTTAGCTGGGGCCTGTCTTGTCTTTTTCTTGATGGCTGAGAAAATCCCCTCCCTGAAATATTTGACTCAATTGCTTGATTTCTCTATGTAGCATTCATTGATGTACCCAGGGGATGCTCCCTGTGTCTGAGGTTAGGCAAAAGAAAGACAAACTGCATAGACAACTTCAAGCTTGTTGCACTGGGATAGCTGAATGAAAGCCTCATTTTATGTCCTCCAATGAGTTGTGTTTCTTGACTTTCTTGCAGGTCCAAGTGGCTCAGCCCTATCCTCTTCCAGTGCTGCTGGGCCTTGCCTAGTAGTGAATGTATTCAGACATAGAGCTGCCTTTTTCCTTTTCTCTCTCTTTTTTTTTTTTTTTTTTTTTTTCTCTTCTCTGCACCCACCTGGCTCTGTGCCTTTAGGCAGGACTGATGCAGAAATTAACTCAGTCATTCTCGGTGGCTGCAACTGCAGTATCTGGACCAGTCTGACCCTGGCCGAGGAAGAGGATGGGAGCAGTCACACTGCACAGACCCTCAGTGCCTGACAGTCTGCGCATCAACACTTCAGTGTTACCGGAGACTCCTCGCTTAGCACTCTGAATAGCCACAAACTGCGTATCACCCAACAGCCTGTTCTGTCACAAATACCTGTTCTGATTGCCTACCTCTTTCTCCTCAAGTCTTCTCTCTCTGTTTTGGTCCTGTGTATCTGCTGCTCTGGAAGCTAAGGGGGATATAAATAAGACTGATCTTTCGTTTTTGTTGAGTGCAGGAGCACTTGAACAGAAGCTGAGAAGGGTCAAGATCTTTCTTGCAGAGGGGATTTCCTGCCCTTGCATCAGCAGCATGCTGCTCCCCAGTCCTTGACCAGAGCTCAAGTCAGGGAATCATTGGTGAAACATTGATCCTGGCTGAAATCACTACAGGTCTGGGCTGGACAACATGCTGCTTTACACTGAGTGTAGAGGGTTTGGAATATAAGGGACCAAACTACTTGTACTGTTCTTAATACCTTTTCAAGTAAATCTCTTTTTATCCTTTAAGAAGGAATTCAGTGTTTTCTTTGTTGTTGTTACCTGCACTCAGTTTGGTCATGGATTGCAAATGAAAGGCTAACACCTCTGAGGTTGGACACGGGATCACGTTAAGTGTCTCAGTGGAGAAGCTGAAGGCTCATGGGCCACTAACCCTGGCTACAACTACCAACTCTCAGCAGTCACTCCTGTACTTACTCCTTAAGTACTCCTGGAGTACTCCTTACTCCACCTGTAATGCTCTCATCCTGCACCAGCCTCATCTCCCTGTATATACCATGGGCGAGATATCCCCTCTGCAGCCTGCGCTGAGCTCCCTCTGCCTCTGGTCCCCTGGAAGATCCCTCTACTCTGAAGGACAGTCATGCTGCCCACCACACTTCCCTCCTCCCTTAGAGGCACAAGCAGAGCTGAGTCCAGGCTGGTGCTGTTACTAATGAGACACAGGGTGCAAGTGGCTGTTACTCCTCCCACTCTGTGGTCTGGTGCTGAGCTGCATGGACCTCAAGGCATGCTGCTGGCACCAGACAGGGAAATGGTGGCTGTTCCAGCCCACTGTGGTGGCTCTCCCTGGCACTGCCTTGCAGCATTAACACACCTTTTCGCTTCCTCATGTTGGATTTTGGCAGCTGCTTTGAAGGTGTTCAGGGCAGAACCAGTCCAGGCAGTCAAAGGCTGCTTTTGGCAGAGTCTTGCTGGCTGAACCCAGAAGTGTGTTGCTGGGCGGCTTTGGCTGCCAGTGTTCTCCTTGGCTTCCTTCACTGCTGGGCAGCTGGGAAGCCTGCCTCTTGGGTAGCACACAGAACCACTTTGCAGCCAAAACATTTCTAAGAACTCATGCACAGAACTGAGATATGTACGAGAAATGCATATCAGTAATGAAGTCGCTCGGTAACTCTTTCCTGCTTCCAGTGCCAAAGAGCATGGTGCAAGTCCAGGGCTAAGATCCAGCTGCAGAACACTGTTGGCTCCTGTAGCCTGGCAGTGGTAATGCTGAACCCACATGAGTGGTGAAGAGCTCTTCCCCAGCAACTGCCATGAGGAGCTCCTGGGTGCTACTGCAGGCACAGCTCACAAGTGATACTACAGGGAATGACATGAGGGCAGGGTCAGGATAATTCCCTGGAGGGTCAACTTGGCACATCTCCTGGCAAGCTTCCCAAAACCAGAGCCAATCACTCACGGATGTCTTTAGCTCCTGTTGCAGTGGGTGGTAAGTAGAATCACAACGGGGCCAGCCGGGAGCCTGGCACAGACACAGGCAGCACACCTGCACTGGCAGGTCAAGCTTCTTGCACATGTGTTATTTCTGCTTTTTCTGTGACAAGACAGGAGGAAGCCAAGGGAAGAGAGGGTGAGAAGCTGCTAGTCAGAGGAGGTTATGCAACGCTGGAGGCATTGGCATGTTTTCTGCAAGGCACTGGTTTGCAGAGTCATTAGCAAACACTCAGTGCCCTGCCTACATGCAAAGTCTAGCCAAGCTTCTGGAGAGCAGTGGAGCTAGTGCTGGGCTGTCAGGGAAAAAAACGTGTGCCAGTAGCTGGGGAAAACTGAGGGAAGCGCTGGGAATACAATAGGCTGCTGAAGAATAAAATGCAGATTTGACAACTCTAGTGTGATCTTTGCCTGAACGCTTCCAGTTCATGGCCAAAGTCAGCACTGGATCTTCAGCTCTGTGTGAAAGCTAAGAATTTCTTTCATCTTCTCCATGAAGATGACCTGTCCGATGAATACAGACTGAGAGAGTTGGGGTTTTTCAACCTGGAGAAGAGAAGGGTCTGGAGAGATCTTATGGCACCTTCCAATACCTAAAGGGGCTACCAGAGAGCTGAAGAGGAATTTTTCACAAGGGCCTGGAGTGCCAGGACAAGGGGAAATGGCTTTAAACTGTCAGAGCACAGGTTTAGATTAGATAAGAGGAAGAAATTATTTACTGTGAGGGTGGTTGAGGCACTGGAACAGGTTTTCTGGAGAGGCTGTGGATGCCCTTGAAAGTGTTCAAGGCCAGGCTGGTGGCAACCTGGTCTAGTGGAAGGTGTCCAGCCCATGGCAGGGAGTTGGAACGAGATGACGTTTAAGGTCCCTTTCAGCCCAAGCCTTGTTTAGATTCTATGGTGCAGTTATCCGCTGAAGAACAGCTAGATGAGAAGTCATACCTTTTTTCCTACAGCAGAAACTTGCCTCGTGGCAGTTGGAAAGTCACGTCTCAGAAAAAAGCAAAGAACAAACTGTGTGAGCCAGAGTGGGAAGGCATTTTGTGTTATATCATGTTATAGTTCAGCTGGCGTATGATGAACTAGATAGGATGTACTCCCAAAAAAAAACCTCGAATACCAGGCTATGTTGGGCTGTGTGAGCAGGGGCAGCAACCAGAAGATGGACAGGCAGCCTATGGAACCCCTGGGCACTGTATTTAATGCCCCAGGGGACTCGAGCTGAGCTCTAAGAGGAAGGCTAGGAATAGAAACACAGGCATGGGGAACTGGGCAGAACCAGCACACAGGAAGGTGGGAAGAGCAGCAAGATGGATTTGCAATCCACAGGAGTGAGAACTAGAAGTGCTCCTTTGGGCCTGAAGGCTTGGGAGGAATTTTATTTCATAATCTGGGCCTTCCAAGTCATGCCCCCACACTCCATCCCTACAGCTAGTGATTCATAGCATCCTTTAAAGAGCTTCCTTAACCTGCCTCCTTGTTTTGTAAAATGATTTTGTGCCCCTGTCTTATCTCCCTCTGTGCTTTACATCTCAATGATATTGGCAACAAACATTTTAGCTAATCACCTCTGGACAAAGATCTACTCCAGATCAGTCTTGTTCTGTCCAAACTAAAGCTCTGTCTTGCCTTTGGTCCTTGAGATATCTGGCCAGCAATTCCTCATGAAGCTGGCTGAAACAGAAATTTTCTCTCTTCTTCCATTCAATCCTGCTTGTTCTCCTTTTTCACAGGGCTGCTTTTTCC